CTAACAAAGTAACCCATAGCAAAAAATGGAAAACCTCACATAAGTGAGAATTTGTAACCAGAGGGGACAGAGTTTTCAGAATTCAGAAAAGAATGGCTGGGGGGCAAGTCTGAGGTTAGATACAGAAGTGTGGGAGATGAGAGAGGCAGGTAGAGTATTTCAAGTGAAAATTTGACACTCCCAGAGCATTTATGAACTGTTTATGAACCCCCACACTGATACCTTCAGCAGTGCCCCCTCTGGTCCACAGGCACTATCTCCTCACACTCTGTCCTGGAGCTCATCCCTATGCTTGGGGGAAATTCTCTTGGGGAAAGTGATGGACTCCCCATTGGGTCAGACCCTTGGCTTCCTGAGAGGTTTGGCCTGGCAGAAGAACAGGGAAAGCCACAGGGTGACAAGGGCAGGTGTCAACAAGAAAGGCAGGCACACCAGGAAGACACCTGTAGTAAGAGGCACAGATTGCCCAAGGGCAAGTTTGCTCTGCTCACCCAGCTCTGCTCCTGCTGGGGCCAAGAGGGTTCATGTGCCAAGGCCAAGGGCCCTTAGGCGCTCTTGCAGCCGGCTTATCAGGGCCTTGGTTCTGGAGGGCCAGGAACAAACAGGCTTCAAAGCCAAGGTCTCAGCTGGCAGGTGGGGGCCGGGTCTTTCACCTCTGTCCCCTCTCCCTACTGGCACATATAAGACCCTAGTTCCACTTGGGAGTTGAGGAGGGGAAGGTGCCTGCAGCAAGATGGATGTGGGTAGCAAAGAGGTCCTGATGGAGAGCCCACCGGTGAGTGTGATCATGCGTGTGTGTGCATGCGTGTGGTGGACCCTGCCTCCTCCAACCTGTTTCCTCATCCAAATTCATTTACCTGATCAACCCAGGGCTGTGCTAAGTTAGGGCAGGGATGTCATCCACTAAGACAGAGTCCCTTGGGGGAGATAGACGTGGCAGTCAGTGATTCCAATGTAAGAGGCTGAGCATCACCACGGAGGTCAGTGGAAAGAGCTGAAGAGGGCACTGAGGAGGGAGACATTACTTGAAGTTCCACTAAGAAAATTATATTTGAGCTGGCTCCAGAAGAATACGTAGGCACTTCCAGTTGGAGAGGGAGGAAGGCACTGCAGGAAGAAGGGTGGTATTTGTAAAGGCATGGAGGTGTGAGAGAGCATGGGGAACGGCCAGGGACTGGGCAGGGCTGGGGTGCCAGGGGTCTGGAGGAAATAGCAGGAGATGTGACTGGTGAAGCAGGCTCTCGTGGGTCTCTCCAAGCGAGACCTCACTTCTCACCATCTATGAGTTTGTCGGAATCTGGGACACCTCTTCCAGGAAGCCTTCTCTGATCTCCTCATCCCTCCTCTCCATGTCTATAGCATTGGTTGCCCAGCCCTGGAAGGGTATGGGAAGGTGTCCAGCTTCTACAGGGAGAAGAGGGGGCATCCTCATGACTTTACACCTGTCTCTTCTCTCTCCCACCACATCAGGACTACTCAGCAGCCCCCCAGGGCCGGTTCCGCATCCCTTGCTGCCCTGTGCACCTCAAACGCCTTCTCATCGTGGTCGTGGTGGTGGTCCTTGTCGTCGTGGTGATTGTAGGGGCCCTGCTCATGGGTCTTCACATGAGCCAGAAACATACTGAGATGGTGAGCAGGCCTGGGATGGGGTGGGCAGCCAGTATAGGACATATCAGAGAGATGGGCTGGTGGAGGGGGGGCTGGGCAGACAGCAAACTGCCCAAGAGGGATGAGAGGATGAGGCAAGGAGCACCTCATGAAAGGACAGAGGCATGAACAGGGTGGCAAACCTGGCCTGGGCTTTTCCACCAGGCCCCTGCCCCACGGTGGGACAGCCCGTTCCCTCCAGCACCTGGTTCCACTCAGCCTCTCCAAACTCTCAGGGAAGAAGGAATTGCATTTGAGTACAGAGGACTGGGGATGGGCATGAGTACTGAAGAGACAGGTGGGGAAAGAGGGATGCCAGGCAGCACTGTCCCCTTCCCCAGGTCCTCGAGATGAGCATTGCGGGGCCGGAAGCCCAGCAACGCCTGGCCCTGAGTGAGCGTGCGGGCACCACTGCCACCTTCTCCATCGGCTCCACTGGCATTGTAGTGTATGACTACCAACGGGTGGGTATGCCTGGACCTCTTGACCTTGGGCCTGGGGGACCACTGACAAGATTCTGCTAGACCTACCCAGCTGTGCCACTTCATACACATCCATCTCATTTCCCGGCCCTTTTGCCTCCCCTGGTTGTGCCTGCCCCCCAGCTTCCAGTATGAGTCCTTCCTGTGCTCAACCTAGAGGGAAATGGCCCAGGATAAAGGTTAGAGAGTGCAAGGCAAGGCCTTCCTGAATGACCTCTGGGATTCCTGTGCCTAGCTCTTGATTGCCTATAAGCCCGCCCCGGGCACCTACTGCTTCATCATGAAGATGGCTCCGGAGAGAATCCCCAGCCTTGAGACTCTCACTAAAAAGCTCCAGAACCTCCAGGTGGGTGCGAGGGTGAGAAAAGTGGGTTGTCTCCCTCCCTGGGCTGCTGGGAGGAACATGTGAGGTGATGGCTATCTGTCACCTGTAAAGCACTGCTCCTGGCAGGCTGCCAGGTGAGTGCCCCTTTCTAGACGCCTGCATCACACCTTCCCTACCTATTCCCCAGCCCTGCCCCACCACCAAGCTTCCAGCCTAGTTGAACCCACATACCACCTGGGGGCTTCTGACTCCAGTACAGCCCCCTCTCAGCTGGCGAGGAAACCAAGGCTCAGAGAGATATCAACTCAGTTCCCAGGCTCCAAAGCCCTGCTCTTTCCAGGTCAAGCCCGCAGTGCCCCCCTCTGAGCTGGGCCAGGTGGAGGGTCGAGACAATGGCGCAGAGTCTTCCAGGAGCGTGGACTTCCTGGGCCCCACTCTGAGCACCCTGTGTGGCGAGGTGCCGCTCTACTACATCTAGGCCCCCTCAGGTGAGCAGGTGTGACTGCCAGAGCACCAGGGCACCTGTGCCCATGGAAGGCTTGGGCCACCTGGCCTTGTCAGCTGACCTGGCACAGGGGGATCCTTTGAGCAGGGTCACTTAGGGAGATCAGGGGAGGGAAGATCCACAGACATTGCCACCCCCACCCCCCGTCCCTTTCCCTCACATAATAAACAGTGTTTCTTTGCTTCACAGAGCCTGCGGAAGCCCAAAAGGGACAGGAAAGTTCCGTGAGCAAAGGGTCTTGGCAAACAGGCAGGAAGCTGCTTCTGCTACACCATAGGGACTAGCCCGGGAGAAATGGGAGCTGTGGGGAGAGGTGGGAGCCAGCAGAAGAGAGGTGGCTACTAGGGGCCAGGGGACGCCTTTCACACACAAAATAAAGCAGCCTGATTGAAAAGCAAGCGGTGTCCCTCTTCTCTCCTCCCATACCCCCTGGGTCCTGCTCTTGGTGGGGGCGGGCCAGGGGAAGGGTAGGGCCTTGGGGAGCAAAGGGGGCTTTCCCCGTTCTCCCCGTCCCAGGGTGATGGGGGAAAGGGGACCGGGAAGCGATCCACGGGCTTTAGGCGCCCTCCGGTGGCGTCTACCGAGGGAGGGCGAGAGACGGGACTCTAGGGACAGTGACCAAGATGGGAGAGAGCGAGGATCGGAGAAGGAAGGGACCGAGAGACGCAGGCTGAGAAGCAAAGGCAGAGAGCTAGAGACGGAGCGAGGAAGAGGCGGCGCGAGCGCCCTGACAACGTGTCCCGCACCGTGAGGAGCTCCGGCGGGGCGCGCACGGGAGAAGCACCGCTAGAGGGCAGCTGGCGGAGCCGCCGCCACCGGCACCCCGGGGCCCGCACCCCTCG